CACAACACACACACATATATATATATATATATATATATATATATATCAGAAGGTAAATTCTGCTAAATCCAATACCTGGAAAAAATTTTATATAGACATTGGAGTTAACAGAATTTGCCTTCTGATTTTTCATTAAACAAATCATAATATCTTAAAATATGTCTCATACAAAAAGAGAAGCTCTAAATTTTATTTTTCAAAAATCCATTTAGAAAATGTACTATTTATATTATCAAATAACAGTATTGTTTTTATTCTGTTACCAGTCTCTGCATTTATGCTAGCTGCAAGATGAAAATGAAGACCAGGAGCAATTCCAGATCCATGAAGACCAAAACTGTGGAAATCATGTACACTATAGGTACTGGGTAGGGTTGGTATGGTCTCCTGAAGTACTTCTGTTAACTGTGAAGCCTGACGTTTCTTGTACTGATTGAAAGACCTATTTAGTATGATAAGGAATATATAAGATCACAAAATTTCAAGTATATATTTACTATTTAGAAGTAAAGCTTGATTTTTCTTATCATGAACAAAAGTTATTCTACACTGTACTAATTTTTATTATAAATATTATTTCTAGTTTACATCATTAGCTTTGTTTATGGATTTAGAACTAACCTAAGTCTATTAAGCTTTATAATCTTTACCATAATCTTACTTCGACATCAGACTAAACAAGTAAAACTTTTACCACAGTGTGGTAGTTCTTATATGGATATACAGTGTTAGTTTGAATGTTTATTATAGCTACTTATATTTATTAGTTTTTGTTATTACTTATTATAATTATTATTACAAATTTTACTAATTTAAATTTCATTATAATGATTATTCCATTGTTAGCCAAGTACATTTGAATGACCTAAATTTCCTGAGCTGTCTAAATCTTGAGATATTATTGAGTTTATTGCCGAAATTATTGTTAAAATCACGGGTATTCAACTGATGAAACAATGCATTCTAATTACCATAAGTAAGATAGTTTAAAGAGTTTATTTATTAGCTATGTTTATTACTAGGTATGTTTTTAATATGATCTATGTGGGTATCTAGCTTGGATCAGAAGTTAGTATTAATTAAATATTTCTTTTAGAATTAACCTTTTTTTTTGTTATAAACCAAACATTAATTTTTAGATTTTAAACAAATAGTTCTTAAATCTATAATAAATGTTGTGTTTATTTGATAACCTAACAAAATAATTAATTTTTTTTTTATTAAGTACTTCATATGTTTCAAGCGTTGCATGATACGCTGTCTATGTTTCTGGGTTTGCAGCCGAGGAGCTTGATTTGCTAGAGCCTCAATCTGTTGTAGATTGATCAACCCATCATCAGGAAGTAAAGTCTGGACCCAAAGTCGGCAAATATTGTCTCGACAGGAAGTAACCAACATATTGGCAACGGAAGCCCTAGAAAAAGTACAGCAGTGCCTTACTTTTGATTTTGTACCTAGCTGTGAACATGAATTGACTAAAAAATGGCCTCATAATTTACCTTACAAGTTATTCTAGTAAAATAATGAACTGTTTTATTATAAGCATAACCCATTAGATTTAATTAACCCTGAACTTGCCTTATCATTAACTAGTATTTAAATAACAGCTTTCACATTTACTCTTATTAATTTTTTTAGTATTTTGTAGCTTATAAGCTAATTAATGCTATACATAAATCCAGTACTTAAAGAGGGGTGGGATGAGATAGGATGCCATCCCACTCCATTTCAGGAGGGCCTGAAACCATCCTGCTTCCTTTTAGTAGACTGTAAGCTTCTCAGAAGGGAAAAGTTCAATAGACAATGCAATAAATAGTTATGGCAGCAAAGGACTGGGGAGAGAAACTATACATTTTTTTTAAAATGTCGTGTAAGAGCAAGGTAGGAATGAGAAAAGTAGTACACAGATGGAGTGAGTGAGCACTCTCGCTGCTCAGTCAATGTGACTGAGTCTGTAACTACAGAGTAACCATCAGAATTTTCATATTATAACTTGTAACAGTATACATCTGTTTATACTTAATTTTTATTGTTTTATTGCCATTTGAACCATGTGTAACTAATAATCCCACCACACACGTTGTATATTACTTGGTGGATGTGCAGCTCACATTACCATATTAAATTATGTAATTCAAGAGCTGCTCATGAATATACCTCGTGAAGTTTTTATTATTATTTTTCATTGTCTTACCTAATCTATCCTAATAAATTCCTGATTTTTTTGCATTTTAGTTACTTTTATAATAAAAAATAAAGAATACACATGAAAAATATGAAATCTGGTACTCCGCTTCAAAATTTTACTAACCATCCCACTTCCTCTTTTCCCCCACTTTAAGCACTGAGTAAATGTACTTTGAAACTTTGATTTCTTTGAACCTTTGCCTTTTTTTAAATCAGTATAATAATGCACAAATACTATGAATAATTTGACAAGTACATCTTTCAAAGTATTAAAACACTAGCTGTGTTCAAAAATTTTGTTTTTAATAAAGAATTCTTTTAAATTTTTCAAAAATAGACAGATTGCAATATTTAAAGTATTGGTTAACCCTTGTATAATGAATTATTGTTAATTTATTTTAATATCATGAATATTAACTTGTCTGGAAGAAGTACCAAATACATGAATAAATACTCTGATTAAGAAGTTAGCACACAGGATCACGTATAAAAGTTGTAATGGTTTTCAAACAAGACCCAAACTTAAGTGCTTTCAACTAGTTTAATATTTTTCTTCAGGAGAATAAAGGGTTATGTTCAATGAGTGTAATGAAATATATAACATGGATGTTGATATCATGCGAGCTGGATGTTCAATATGAGTTAGCCACGAGAACTAGCCAATCATAACCTACAGTTGTTGGTGTCAGGTTTAGTTTGTGCCAAAGACGTGTACAGTACATAAAAGATTTAAGTGTGATAATAGTTATAAGAAATGTTAACCAATTTTTATAAAGATTAAAAATAAAATAGTGGCAAAAGATGGTGGAAAATATAGAAAATGACAATGTGATGCAAGATACAGGAAATAATAACAATATAGAAAAATTAAAGAACAAATAATACTAATAATGTAAAGTAAGGTTAATTATGAATTTAGTTTTGAAAATCTTTTCAGAGACATACGAAAGTCAACAATCCTGGGATCAAGATTGATGCCATTTGGTATTACGGTATTTAATAGTGCTATCCAGTAAGCTTCTTTAATTTCCTGTTTCTGTTAGATGTAAAATTTGTATCTATACCTGTCAGTTTAATGTCATCAAGAGAGTGTCCAGGCATGTTAAAATATTTTGCAACTGGAAGTTATTTGTTTTAATTGTTGATTTGTGGTTATTAAAATATTCCTGTATAGTTGTTTTGGTTTGACCTATATATTGGAAGCTTCATTTTTGGCATTGGATTAAGTAAATAACGTTTTGTGTAGATCAGTTTAAAGGTTTAGTAATCTTGAACTACTTTTGGTTTTCTTTATCAGAAAATTTGTCCATTTAATACATGAACTTATAGGTTTGGCATTGTTTGCTATTGCAAGGATGACTTCCACCTGGTGTCAACTTAAAGTTGACTTTAGCATGAACTAAATGTGAATGCAAAATTATATTTTTCTGAAAGAAAGACAGGTATTTCACTAAAAATGGATTTTAATGATCATTAAATTGAAGGATGTAAAAATTTTTTTTAGTATCTGGGATATATTTTTTTTAGTTTTGAGTGATAGGTAATAACCAGTGGAACACAAGAAAAATTAATTTTAGGTAATTGTTTCAAGGCAAATTCATGTGGTATATTGTTAGCTTTGTCACGTTGTTGGGTGATAGTGTTTTGTTTATAACCTCTTTCAGTCAGACTGTTTCAGAGAATTAATTTGATGGTCATAGTTCATACTGTAATAGCATATCTTCTTTAATCTAAGTGCTTGATTGAACGTGATATTGCATTTGGTGTATAGAGGATGACAGCTTTGATTATGTAAGTATTGTGATTTGTCCGTTGGTTTTTGGTACAAATCAATATGTAGAACACCATCTTTTAATGTTAGTTTTACATCTAAGAAACTTATTTGGGTAGTGGAGTAATCTAGAGTAAATTTAACAGAACTGTGGAAGATGTTAGCATATTTATAAAAGAACAGTAATGAATCTGTCTCCTACCCAAATGAAAAAAATTCCATCAATGTAGCATCTCCAGAATGTTGGTTTGTCTGTGCAACTTTCCAACAGTCTCATCTCTAAGTCTCCCATAAAAATGTTGGCATAGTTTAATGTCATCTTGGTGCCCATAGTTGTGCCTTTTGAATATAGAACTCGTTATTAAATTCAAAACTGTTAAGTGTAAGCACTAGTTCAGCTAAATCTGTAATAATCTGAGTGTTCAGTTTGTCTAGTTTTAGCAAAGATTATATGGCTTTTAGGATTTCATTTTGGGGAATGTTCATGTAGAGAGAAGAAACATCCATAGTACAGATAATAGTGTTTGGAGGAAGTTTCCCATTGTTGTTAATATCAGAGATTATATTCAGAAAATTTGTTGTGTCTTTAATGTATGATGTCAAATGGTGGGGGGAGATATATTTCATGTAGTGATCAACATATGCTGATACGTTTTCAATAGGTATAACACAATCAGAAATAATAGGATGACCAGGACTGTTGGATTTGTGTATTTTAGTAACATGTAAAAGGAACCTGGAACTGGATGTTTACGTGAAAGGAACTGTAATGTTTTAAGACTGATGTGTTGACTTTTCTGTAAGCTACATAGCACTTCTTTGATAATTCTAACAAATTGTGGGATCTGTGTGTAGTCAGACTTATCTTGAATGACAATGGCACCACCCTTATCAGCTGGTTTAATAACAATTTCATTTACATGTTTCAGTGAAATTAGGGCATTATGTTCACTACAGGAGAGATTGTTTCATACTTTTGAGTCGGTGTTAATGGCTTGAATTACTTCATTTTCAACTGCAGGAATAAAACTCTCTAGATCTGATTCCCTGTTGGCTAGGGGAGACCGGAAGGATTTTTCTTTAAACTGTGAGTCAAAATTATTTCTTTCAGTGGTTTGATTGTGAAAAAATTCTAAATCTGCATGCAAATTGTTGTAGGTTGGAAATTACTTCAAAGCTATCTATGTTTTTATGGGTAAAAGAAAAATTAAGACCTTTACTAAGAAGTTTGTGTTGAGTTTCAGTTAGTGATTTAGAGGACAGATTGACGACATTGGAAGTGTTCTTGGGCTTGAGTCGATCGGATGCAGAAGTCACTAAGTTAGTGGAGTAGATAGTAGAATCTATTTTAGTAGAAAGCTCAATGTAAGTGTTTACATTATTGAAGTTATTAATCAGCAGCTCACAGAAGATATTAGTATGAGTCTGTTTAAAATTTGTATTTTATTGTAAACAGACATTACGGTTTGGATGGGAGAAACCTTTATCCTTATGTGAAACATTATTATTTGTTTGTGTTTTATTGCTGATTTTTGCATGATTTTCAAAAGTCTTCTTTGTTTTGTTAATAAATGCATCAAGGACAAATAATGTTCTCAGAATTTATAGCAGCAATGTTCTTTTCAAGATTGTCTATTGTGGATTTGCAAAAGTCGTGTGTTGATGTAAAACAAAATATTTTCTTCCACTGCAAACAAAACAGTTTTTCATTAACTCCTACGGTAACTGGTGGATTCAAATTAAGGGATTTAAGTATAGTTTGATTCTGGAAATGCTGTCCTGGCATGGTGCATGTAGCTCAGTCTTTTTTCATTAAGTTTTCCCGAGTAGTTTGAAAGTCTTACTGGAGTTTAGATCAGAGTGCACTTCGGCAACTGTGTTGGAGGGAGTGTTTATTTCAATGAGAATACAGGAAGAAGTTACAAGGTCTATCAGGTTTAGAAAGTGGTCAGGTTTAGGGCTTTGTGAAAGTTTGTTGGTTGAAGGGTGATGATTTCCTTCAAAGGTTGTAGAAGAGTCTGTATATGGAAGAAGAAAAGCCTCAGGGGTTGTGGAGTTTGGAAGGTTGTCAAAATAAGGGGATACTGGATGGTTGTTAGGAATAAAAGTGGAAGCCTTGAAATATCCATAACTACTGCATTTAGGAGAAGGGGATGTAATGGTAGAAAAGGGGTTTGTAAGTGTAGAAGTGTGACCTACAGTAGTATCAGAGTTTGTGAATAGGGCAGGATTCTTGGGTTGTGTGTCAGGTTTAGGGCATAGGGAGAAGTTTCTAGGAACAAAAGTGTAAGCTGTAACTTCTGTCTAAGTG